TTTCAGAAATAAATTTGCCAGTAATATTTGCCTGCAGATACCATCTAAAAATAAGAAAATATGCTTTAACCACCAAACCAGGCTGTAAATGGTTTGCATCTCGACATGGATTTAAAAAAAGGGATGTAGAACTTCCTAGTATAGCTTTTTTAGCTACTTACTCTTTAATTGCATTGTTTCTCAAATACATGAACAAACCCCGAGTGTGCTCCAGAGCAGAGCCTGGTGGTGACCGCACTTGCTCTGGCCTCAGGATGAGGCTGCCAAGCCAGGAAACAGCATTGTTGCCTCTTCCAGAAGAGGCACCTGCTCTTGCTTGAAAAATTCAAGTACAGTTCTCCAAATCAGTTGTTTTCAGAGGGTCCTTGAAGTGCCCATGCGAAGAAACTCCTGACAAGTCTCCTTGCTCTCTCAAAGGAACATGCCCAAAGAGCGACCCTCTTTCTCCCGAGCACTGTTCTGTCTCTACTGAAGCCTGGGGTGCCCACCAGCCCAGGGCTGAGGCCCCACACCGAGCAGCAGAAGAGCAAGGAACAGCACGGACCACACTGCAGCTGTCCATCCACCAGACCTGGCAACGTGCACAAGTCTCCCAAGTGTTCCGCTCACCCTGAGCTGGGTTCCATTCTCTGTCTTCCAAACCAACCCAGCTGACGCATGCCACATCCATACCCAAATTCATGATCATCGTTTGCTTTCTCCTCCAAATGGTCCACAGACACCATTACTTCACATGTATAATTATTACATTTGATTATTACTTTGGTGTCTGCACTAGATCCATCCCACGTAAAGTACCCTGAGCTTTGTTGCTGAATATGATAGTTTGGTCCCACCAACTGGTTATAAGCCAAATTACTATTGTGCAAGTTACCTTAACACCCATGACAGTAACCACAGGCATAACACCCCAGACAAAACTTCATAAAAAGCAATAGTAACTGGATATCTTATTTTCTTCTTAGGAAAAAAAAATTATCATCACAATGATTAAGAGTCAAATAATGCTCCAAACCTAAATATTTCACATCTTCCTTAGGCAGATTGAGCTCAGTGTTTAAAATCCAGCCAGGAAATGTATCGGTCTGATATTGCTAATAAACTTTTCAACAACTGCTACCTAGGATCAAGACAGCAGTGAGAGGGAGGGGCAGCAGCCTGATCACTTTTTAATCACCTCACTCCAAACAGCAGATGGGCTTCAGAGGACAGCGTGTGAGCTCCACTTCTGTCCACATGCCCATTCTCCCTGTGTGAATCAAGAGGTCTGGGTGGTGCTTTGGTCAGCTTTTCATTGCTATGACCAGAAGACCTGACAAGAGCTGTACAGAGGAGGAAATGGTCAGTCCGGCTCATGGTTTCGGAGGTTCAGTCCATGGTCAGCTGACTCCATGGCTCTGAACCCAGAGCTCATCACGGTGGGAGGGTGTGGAGGAGGAAAACAGCCCACGAGGTGACAGGAAGCAGAGGGAGAACTCCACTCACCAGGGACAAAATAAACCCCCACAGGCACACCCCCAGTGACGCACCTGCTGACAGTTACCAGCCAGTAAATCCCTATCATATGTCACTCCAGAGACTAGGTTACAGCTCTCACAACCTAGCCTTTTCACCCTGAATGTTCTTGCATCAACTCACCAGATCTTTGGGGGGGGGGGGACCCTCCACACCTAGGCCAGTTACAGGTAGGTAACTGCATACAAGCAGATCATCAAGACGCGTCAAGGCAGATCTATGAATCACTGTGCTACCGTCTGGATCTTAAATGTCCCCCGGAAACCCGTAAAGGCTTGGTCACCAGCCTGTGGTGCCATTGGGAGGTGGTGGAACCTGTAGGGGTAGGGCTTGGTGGGAGGAAGCAAGGTTGCTGGGGACTGCCCCCAAAAGACATTGGGAACCCCTGCAGTTTTTATCTTTGCCTTCTGAGCACTGCAAGGTGAGCAGCTCTCCTCCACCACTTCTCACTGCTCTGGATGCTCTGCCTCACCACAGAACCAAAACCACAGAGCCAGGCAACCACAGCCAAGAGACACTTCCTTCTATCCAGGCTAATGATCTCGGCCCTGCATTTTATCAACCTGACCCCATCAAGTCACCAGCCACTTGAGTTGAATTCACTTTGTTGCTTGTGAGAAAGGGTGGCTCCTGTCCCAGTGCCAAGCAAGTTGTCCCATCCGCCATGTCAACCCCAGCAGGAAAGGCACTGTCCGTTTGGTCAGGAGGCACCAACTTGTTGTAAGGGATTGTTGGGGGACTTTGGTGAGTTGCCTGTTCATCCTTCCTGCAGGCATGTGGAAATAACCTGGCCCACACTCATTTAATATCCATATTCTAGTAAACTAGGTTGTTACTATCCCACACTGCTCAAACCGATGTCAGCAGCACCATTTTCTAAATCCACACCTATGCCCTATGTGCACTCTGAGCCTGGCAAGGTCACATCACCGGCAGCAGGCTAAGCTGTTCTGCATTATGGCTCACCACACTGTCTAGGAAGCTTGTGATGCCTCCCGTGGGGTTCGGACTGTGAAAGAGTGTTTTCAGCATTCAAATCCCTTAGACATGCAAATTCTACTTCTGAAACAGCCAGAGTCACAGGCAGCGCAGAATGATTCTTTATTACTAATCTGCAACCTCCATGAGGCCAGGGCTCAGGCACCATCTCTCCTGCTCTAAGGCCGAAGCCACTGGAATGGCAAGGCCTGCCCAAGCTCACTGAGAACCCACACTGCCCAGGCTTGACTGAGACCCCACCTTGCTCAATCTGTCCAAAGGACCAATCTGTTCGAAGCTTTTCTCCAGAGGAGAAAGCTAAAGCTCTAAGAGTTGAAGAGTCTCACCCAATACTGAGTGCTGAAACAGCACCCACATTTTTGTTCCCAGCGTCACTGAACTGCAAGAGCAGGAAAGCCCCACAATCAGAGCACACCAGTCCTCTCAAAACAGGAGCTATGCTGAGCCAGACCCGGCCGTGACAGGTAGGTGGCTCTGGTTAACAGTCAGTCCATTAGTAGGCAACACTGGCTGTCCTGGTCTTCTGAGGTAGGAAGGGCATTTACCACCCACCTTGGTGGTTTCTTTGTTCTTCTTGTGTTCAGGCATTTAATACATTACTATGCAATGTCTGTCTCCCCCCACCCCCAGTTACTAGGACACATAGGCATTGAAAAAATTTGAATAACTATCCAACTGAAGGCGGAAGGGGTGCTGGAAATCCAGTGCCAAGCTACTCCTCTCATTAGGGATGTACAACTCAAAGTGATATACATCTGTGAAAGAGCAGTAGATCACTATAATTTTCAAACTTTGAATTCCTTTTTTAGTATGTTTTTATATAATTTAAGAAATTGGATATTATTTCTTAAACATTTAGTCCCTAATCTGTCTCCACCGTCATCTACTTATAAAACTAAAACTAATTGGAAAATGAAAAAAAAAAACTATCAATGCTTGCTAGACATAAAGTTTTGCTATAAATAATCTCTTACAGTAAATGAGACAATCTCAAGGCTCTTTGCTTGATACCACCTCCAACCCTTCACACCCACATGGATGTCCCTCCTGGGAACACAATGAGTGTTGACTTCATTCTCTGGGATTAAGGACAATTGATCCCAACCTTCCTGTCACTGTGCTTTAGCTGAGGCACAGATAAACAGAAAGGGCAGGGCTCCACTTCATGCAGCTCTGCCCCACCACTTGGGTGAAAAGCAGCCAATTTTTTTTTTTAAGAAGAAATTCAAACTTTGAAGGACATAAGGTTTTTAATTTCCTAGTTGTTACAGAAGATAAAAAAGCTATTATTAAACAAAACCCCAACAATTCAAAATGAAGCACCATCTTAAGGCACACTGTTATTTACATGCAAGTTATTGATGCGCTGCTTTTATTACTACCAACCTGAACCATGTTACTGAGCCCCCCCCCCCCATCCCCTGCACGCCATCAACTCATCCCCATACTGGACAAAGAGCTTATAGAGCCAAATCGGACTCCAGGAAACATAGCTGCTTCTTTACTAAGATGGCTTCCAGTCCTCCCTCGGTCCCTCGGTCCCTCTCCCTCAAGCCTTGTTTACCACACTGCCACCCAAACACACCTTGTATCTCGGCCTAGGAGTTTTGCCATACTTTTCAAACACAAACAAATGATGGGATACAGGCAAAAATCTACCACCTTTTCCCCCAAATTCGGGTCTAAAGAAAGGAAATAAGGAAGGTTGGTGGTTGTCATGTTAGATGACAATTACAGTCGATGACAATAGTATCTTCCTTTCTAAAAGGAGTAATTGGCGACATGTAGCGCGGCTTGAGCCTGTAATCCCAGCAGCTCCGGAGGCTAAAGCAGGAGGAATGCGAGTTCAAAGCCAGCCTCAGCAATTTACCTAGGCTCCAAGCAACTCGGCCAGACCCTGTCTCAAAAAAAGGAGGGGGTGCTGGGGATATGGTTAAGTTCCCCTGGGTTCAATAACTGGTTAAAAAAAAAAAGTTGAAATTGGCAACTTTGTCTCCTTGACTTTGCTTCCTTTAGGTAAATATCATAAAGCCCTCAAGGCAAACTGACCCAGAGAACAAACCAACAGGCACACATCCACCTTCAGCGGGGCACACCCTTCGCCCCCCCACACACCCGCACAGGCCCCCCACAGGTACATCCACCCACACACCTGTCCACACCCATATGTCCCCCACAAGCCTACCCGATCATAACCTACACACACCCATGCTCCTCCGCACACCCCCCACACACCCACAGGCCCCTCACAAGCGCACAAACACCCCCAAAAGTCTCCACGCACGCGACCCAGGGAGTAGCAGAAGCCAGCCGCATCTGTCGACCCCGAGCTCGGCACGCAAGCCGTCTGTTCTGACAACCTCCGCGCTCACTCCCAGCTGGGACCTGCGGGGAACGCTCCGCACACCCCACCGCTCAGAATCCGCAGCCTCGGCTGGCCCCGGGCCGCTCCAGGCCAGCACGCGCCGCGGGCCACCGTGACTCACCGTGCCTGCAGCCGCAGTAGCCCCAGTCCGCCCGGCCGGGGGCGCTGCGGTAGAAGCACCAGGGAGCGCCCGCGCCGTCGGGGCTGCGGCAGAAGTTGTGGCGCTGCCCTCGAAGTGAAGCCCAGCCCTCCGGGGGCGGCCGCTCCAAGAAGGCGGGCACCTCCGCCCAGGGCAGACCGCGGGCGCCCCGGGCCGTCTCGTGGATCCCTGGCGCGCCGGCGGGGCAGACGCCGGGGAACAGCCCGGGAGCGCGCCGGGCCGGGACGGCACGCGGGAGCGGCGGGGAAGTCCCGGACCTCCGCTGCGGGGTGGGGCTGGAGTCCTGGTGCTGGGGACCCGGAGGGGGCGGGTGGCGGTGGTGCAGATACCCCCGCCTCGGATCCCCGCTGACCGCCTCGGCGAGAGCCCCTAGCATCAGCGCCAGCACCAGGCTGGCGAGCGTCATGGTGCCGGCGCTGCGGGGTTTGGTCCGATCCCCGGGCTCGGCGGGTGCTCAGAGGCGGAGCAGGCCCCCTCCCAGCCGGCTCGCGGACGCCGCCTCCCCGCGCCTCCGGGGGCGCCGGGGTCGCGAGCTCGCGGAAGGCGGGTGCAGAGTTCCGGGCGCCTAAGCGCGGACGGGGATGTGGGCCAGCGCGGCGGGGGGCGGGGGGGGGGGAGAGCCGCAGCAGCTGCGGGGTCCCGGGTCGCACTGCCCCCCCGCGCCTGGTCTCTACCCTGACCGTGTCGTGCTTTCTCTGTTTTTCAGTCTTTAGAAAAGTGTGGATGAAAGTGGATGCAGCTCTGCCCGGCCACCTCCCAGAGGCGACCTTATCAGAGCGCGAGGGGAGTGTTCCAGCCTCCTGCTGAGCTGGGAGCTCTTCAAGGACAGCACCACGTCTAGTTCAGCTTGGTGCCCGGTGCTTAGCCCCGTGCCCAATCAATAGTGCCCACATTAAATTCCTGGCCCGACCCAGGGAAGGAGCTGGAGCCCTCCTCTTCCCGCCTCCCACCTCCCCCTCGCCCGGGACAACGCCAGTTACTTGGTTATTGCTGGGATTCGGCGAGGCCCTCTTCCTACCGAAAGTCCTCCGTAACCAGAGGATACTTCAGCCATCCGGGCCTCCATCCCATTCACGACTGTGTCCTCCCAGCGCCTGCCGGGTTTTGCAGGACACGCTATTTCTTAGCCTTTGGGAAGTGCGCTCCGCCTGCCGCACTTCTGTAGCCTCTGCTCGGCTGAGTAGGCCCTTCCACCCGACTCCGTCCAGGATTAAGTCAGTTTCGAATGTTCAAGAAGTTGACTGGGGAGGAGGTTTTAGAATTTCCCGTTCAGTTGTTCTGACAGCGCAGCCAGAGTGAACCCAGGAAAACCAAGGCAACGTTTTACTTTCTGCGTTGCGTCGCGGGGGAGGAACAAGCGCTGAGAACACACCCCGAGGGAAACGCAAACCAAGTCTAATGTTTGCTGTTAGGACAGAGGTTTCAGTTAGGAGCCGAATCCTTTACTCAAAAACCTGATTTTGCTTAACTTTTGTGAATCATCTTATTGGAATCCTTTTCACTCTTATTAATGAAATATTTGATTTTACTTCAGAGAGAATTGGTCTTAGAAATGCAGGAATGTATTTGTTAAGTCTTTATTCAAGATTTTTGCTGCTGTTGTTCAAGATGCATTGTTTTACTTTTTACTCATATTCTTCAGGCTCCAAAAGCACAGTTAAACTGTACTTGTGGAAGAAACTGAAAGATGTGGTCTGTTTGCTTATTTTAGCAGGAATTGAGTTGGAAAACAAGTTTTAAGCATGGTGGAGATAGTTCTGATCAGTCAGCCCCTCTCCTCTGTCCTCTTTTCCACCCTGGGCTTGCGGTATGGCCCTGCAAGGCTCCTGAGATTCAGTCCACTGGCTGGCTTGGACCCTGCTCCCCCACCACCACCCCAGGATCCCAGACTTCACACTGACTGAAATGCTGCAAACACAGCCACTTCCCACACACCAACCCTCCCTTCAGAGAGGGGGAGTGAAGAGAAGAAAGGGGGACGAAAGAGAAGATTGTGGAAACTAATCTCCAGAGAGAAGCAGGCCTTGGGCAGGGCCTGTATGGAAGAGGAACAAGACTCCCCAAGGCCTGCTCACACGAACAGATTGTGAGATCAAGAGCATAAAAATGGAGTCATCGATGGAAACCACTATCTGGAGTTCATCATTTAAGTGTTACAACATATCCTTCTTAGAAAATAAAATGGCATTTATATAATTGGAGCATGAATCTGAGGGCCTCAATCTGGGTCTTGCTTCCTATTTTATAGTCATAGTATGACTTAAATAGCTGGGTTCCTTATTGGCTTCTGCCCTCCTCTGTTAACACTTTCCCTTCCTCTAGTCTTCCATTTTCCACCACAGCTACCCACATGCAGGTGTTTAGTATTTCATAGTTACTCAAACTATACACAGAAAAGGAGAAAAATATGCATATGTATGTGTCTCCAAAAGGTGGTCTCACTGGCCTTGGAAACAAACCTGCGCTCAGTCTGGCTGCAGACCTAAGCCATGGTGGGGCACTAGGTATGCTCTCCAAGGCCCCTGAGGGACAGCTCTCTGCCGGGCCAACAGGAGCACTCCCTGCAAACTGCACAGCAGAGAACACCTGAAGGTCTACCTCAGGGAAAAGCACAGCCTCAGGGTCCTAATTCCAGCCCTCACAGTGTCACCTGTGTGAATCCACCTTCCAGAAGTAGGGCAGGCCAGGTGACCTCCCGTCACGCCCTGGCTCTCTACTGCACCTCAATCACTCCCACTCTGAGCCTGGCAGGCAGGAGGCTGCCTGCTCTGCCCACTTAGCCATGTCCCTCCTCCCTCCCCACTTTCCTTCTCAACAGCTTTTGTCCCTAAAGCCAATGAAATACGAAGAATGTCCATAAGATGTCTCCTTGAGGAGTTTGGCCAAGTGTCATGAGTGCTTTCCAGTCCTGCAGCCATACTGTAGCTGCGAGTGAGCTGCAGCCACATAAGTGAAGGGCAAACAGAGGAAATGAAGAGCCACTCTGAGCTGCTTGCCCGTGACTGGGGTGACAGGCATTCAGAGTTCCACCTTCCCATCAAATGCAGGAGTCCTTTTCAGAGCTTCCTGGTAGTGGACCTCCACCCATCTCTTGAAAATTAATCATGAGGAATGCCTGTTGGAAGCTACATGCTTCAGACCTACGAGTCCAGAAATGTCCTCTCCTCTGGGGCCAGTTGATCCCCAGTAGAAACCCCTCACCCAGATGCACTTCTGGTTCCCATCCCGCCCCACCCCTGCGCGGAGGGAACAACCTGGTCCTGCAGAGCTGGGCTCACACGGGTTATCGTGACTGCTTCAGGGCCTCAGAGCATGCTGAAGACCCCTTTGCCCGCCCCTCCCTCTGGGAGGAGGTGCAGCTCTGGGGTCTGGAGGTGCAGCTCCAGAACATCAACCACTCTCTGTCACTTGGGCCCCTTAGCAAAGTTTCTCCCTGAGGTGTGAATGTAGATCCATTCCTGATTCTCCCCCCTTTTGCTCGTGTTTTTCTTTGGACTCTTAGGAACGATAATAAAGCTGAGATTTGGTGTAGATTGAGGTAAAAGGAAGGAAGAGAGGCCCTTAACTGCCAGGCCTGGCTCCCAAGAAGCTATACTAGGGCTTGGGCAAAGCCCAGCATGTACTTGCCTGGGACCTCATGGGACAGAGATGGGGACACAAAGTGGAAGTCAGGGACTCCACTTCCTGGTCACCATCAGCCTGGGTGAGCCTCTCCAGGCAGGGGTGGGCTGTCTGCACCGTGGAGGTGACAGTGCTGCTTGGCAGAGTTTGAGGATAGAACCTCTTTGCTGAGCACAGGACGCTGACCAAATGGCCACTCTTTGAGTATGCGAGGATGCTGCTTCTCCTTGACTAAACACGCCACCGTCCCTCTCCTGCTTCTGACTTTCACACTGTATGCTGCACTCAAGTGTGGAAATGGCCTCACTCAACCACAGTTCATTGTACTAAAACCACACTCAGGGGTTACTCGAGTGGTGCAGGTTTCAAGGGGAGAGATTTCAGACACCATACTGTGATGGCATGTGCTTCCTCACAGCCTGACGGGGGGAGCACAGAGCTGCCTGAACTCCTACCATGTCCTTTAAAACCCATTCAAACTTCGAGGTTTTCCAAATCAAATTCTGTTCTCAGATATGTGTATCACTTCACATCACGCACACATCGTTCCAGAATCCTCTTCACAACAACCTACTAATGGAGAGGAGCGTGCCCCCACAGCAGCTGGCCTGGAGTGGCCACTGACAGGCCATCACTGGACACGTGAAGTCTGATAGCTGAACATGGATGAGGGTCCTCATGCTCTGTCATGTGGAGTGTCGAGCCTAGAACAGAAGTCATGGAGCAGTAGCCAGTAGGGTGGATGTGCCATCCAGGTATGTTTTCCTTGGTACAAGAATCATTTTAGAAATGGAATTTTATGTATTTTTTAAAAAATTAGTGGTTAATATAAAATTAAAGTTTACTAGCTTCCCTTGCACATATGTTAGAATGCTTTTGACTGCAAGTAAAATAACCCTCAACTCACACTGCCTTTACAAAGGCCTGGGTGGTCTCAGACTATTTCTGAGATTCCTGGGATTGATTGCTTTAGGATCTAACCGTGCTATTGGGGTCTCAGACTCCCTTTTTCTCTCTGGCCATCTTAATGTTGGCTTCATCTGCAGAAAGCCAGCAAATGTCAAGGCAGAGCCTCTGTTCAGAGAATAAAGAGACTTGTTCTTTCTGAGCCTCTCTTATAGAAGCAAAATATCTTTCCTGGAAGATGCCCCTGGCATGTGGGCTAGAACTGGGTCACATGTCTCTCCATGAAACGCTCCCTGGCCAGGAAGAGACACTTCCACTGCTTGGCTTGGATTCATTGCCTAGGGCACAATTGATGCTTGGAAATACCGGCCCATGTGTACCACACCGTAAAAAGCCAAAGGTCTGGCCATGTTGCAACCAAATTCCACAGAGTGACAAATGTCTTTAGCTTCCCCACCTTTGGACCTAGAGGACAGTCTCTGCTCTCCATGGGCCCCACACCTGGCCTTTGTCAGAATTTGGTTTGCCACACCTTGTTCATACTTCTTCATCTGGGGAATTTCAGCTGTTTTGATGTTTGTGGGTACCTGAGCCTATAGATTCCCTAATGGTGAATGGATAATGGTGATAGTTGTCTATAGTGATGTGACAAGCTGTCCCGTAACTTAGTGGCTTAAAACAAGAAGTCTTTATTAGGTAGAGGGTCTCTGGTCTAATTCCGAGGTCTTTGATCCACTTTGAGTTGAGTTTTGTGCATGGTGACAGACAGGGGTTTAGTTTCATTTTGCTTCATGTGGATTTCCAGTTTTCCCAGTACCATTTGTTGAAGAGGCTATCTTTTCTCCAATGTATGTTTTTGGCACCCTTGTCTAGTATGAGATAACTGTGTTTATGTGGGTTTGTCTCTGTTTCTTCTATTCTGTACCATTGGTCTACATGTCTATTTTGGTGTGTGTGTGTGTATATATGTATATATATATATATATACATACATACACACACACATACACACACACACACACATATACCTTTTATATTACTATAGCTTTGTAGTATAGTTTTAGGTCTGGTATTGTGATACCTCCTATTTCACTCTTCTCGCTAAGGATTGCTTTGGCTATTCTGGGTCTCTTTTTTTTCCAAATTAATTTCATGATTACTTTTTCTATTTCTATAGGAATTCTAATTGGAATCATATCCAATCTGTATAGCACTTTTGGTAGTATGTCTGTTTTGACAATATGAATTCTGCCTATCCAAAAGCATGAGAGATCTTTCTATCTTCTAAAGTCTTCTTCAATTTTTTTCTTCAGTGTTCTGTAGTTTTCATTGTAGAGGTCTTTCACCTCTTTTGTTAAATTGATTCCCAAGTATTTTATTTTATTTTATTATTTTTTGAGACTATTATGAATGGGGTATTTTCCTAATTTCTCTTTCAGATGATTTATCACTGATATATAGAAATGCAGTATGGATATTCCTTAGAAAACTTTGAATGGAACCACCATTTGACCCAGCTATCTCACTCCTCTGTCTCTACCCAAAGGACTTAAAATCAGCATACTACAGGGATGCAGCCACATTAATGTTTATAGCAGCTCAATTCACAATAGCTAAACTGTGGAGCCAACCTAGGTGTCCCTCAGTAGATGAATGGATAAAGAAACTGTGGTATATACACAATGGAATATTACTCAGCAATAAAAGAGAATAAAATTATGGCATTTGCAGGTAAATGGATGGAGTTGGAGAATATCATGCTAAGCGAAGTAAGCCAATCCCCAAAAAACAGAGGCTGAATGTTCTCTCTGATGAGTGGATGCTGATACATAATGAGGTGGGGGCATGGCAAAAATGGAGGAACTTTGGGCAAAGGAGGAGGAGGGGAGAGGGTGGGAGGGTCATGGGGGCAGGAAAGATGGTGGAATGAGATGGACATTATTACCTTAGGTACATGTATGACTGCACATGTGGTGCCACACTATATCGTGCACAACCAGAGAAATGAAAAGTTGTGCTCTGCTTGTGTACAATGAATCAAAGTGCATTCTGCTGTCATATATAGCTAATTTGAATAAATAAATAAGTAAATTTATTTTTTTAAGAAAGAAGCCTTTATTATTGCAGAGCTTCTGAGGCTTGGCACCTGGGAGCGGCTGTTCTTGGTATTTTGGCTCTAGGCAGTGACATTCAGTCAGGATGTAAGTGAACCACAGTCACCTGAAGGCCTGCCTGGCTGGAGGACCTGCTCTGAGATTGTCCACCTGTGCTTCTCGGCCACTCACAGCAAGTAACAGCTTCCCTTGGTGAGGTTGGACCAAGAGAGCAATCAATGCAGAAGCCACCAGGGCTGGAGTATGTCCCTCCAGAAATGGAACCCTGGCTTCTGCTTCGTCCTGTTGCTCAGAGTCTATGTGCCCTGGCACGCGGCAGGAAGGGACCACACAAGGATGTGAATTCTAGAAGATGAAGGTCATGGGGCTGTCTTTTAGGCTGGCTGCCACAGCTGTGTCCTGCAAAATTACTCTGAAAAGAGCATATAAAAATAAAGTTTACTAGCTTCCCTTGCACATCTGTTAGAATGCTTTTGGCTGCAAGTAAAATAACCCTCAACTCAAATTACCTTTAAATAAGGCTCTTTAGAGGACTCTGTGGTCTCAGACTTTCTAAGCACTAAGATT